CTTATTACGGACCTGTTACTGAGAAGATAAGTAAATACGTGGTAAACAATAGATTCGCTGGTTTCGAAAGAACACCGAAGTATAATCAGAAAAGATGGGCGAATTTGCAAAGCTGATAGAGCGAAAAATGGCAGTAACACAAGCAGAAAGTTTTCGCGTAAAGAGTGTTATCAACAAAAATGTATAGTTAAACAATCACTGATACAATTGGTTATAAGAATAAATGTTTCTAATAAACCAATCGCGTTCTCTTCATAAAAGTGGATTAACTACGAATTTATACATGGAGTGAAGACTTTTAAGTGATTTTCGTGTGTATCAATAAGGTTGTGAAATAATTTCGAATTTCAAACTATAGGACTTGACGATCACGCTAGACCTATGAGCTAGACAAACGGTAGTCGAAGAAGCCAAAAGCCTATATAAGCAATCAAAACACATTTAAATCTGTGAGTGAACTGACTAGAACAGATTCTGTATGTCTTCAACACGGATTCGATTTAAAGAGTACACAGTCAAGGTACATATGTAATTCGATGTTTTAAATCAGATAAGGAGTGATTTGTTCTGTATTCCACGCAAGAACTTCACTAATGCTTTTACTGATACAACTGTTATCGAACCACAAACGTTGAGTCTAAGAGAATCTGAACAGACTGCTTTTGAATGTTATCGTTTGAATCGCATTATGGAAATGTCCATCAGGTTGTACCTTGTACAACTTTGAGCTTCTCAAAGAAATTATGACTTGCATTGAGAAAACAAATAACTACTTGTAAATTGGTGTAGATGCTTTAGCGTTCGGGATATGAATCAGCCTCGAGAGTTAACCTATGGTGGCTGTAAATGAAATCGTTGATCTCTAATAGATGAATTTTACTGACAATCGAGACATTATGATATCGATTAACAGTTATAGATCCTTGAGAGACGAATATATATTTTTAGATGAAGATAATGAATTGATGAAGTTATTTGACCTTGGTATGCATTGTAGTATCGATAGAGATAATTTGTGTCCTTGTGAAAAACCAATATCAATTTCAATCTATATGAAGCGGGTAAAATTGAAGAGGTGTATGGTGAGACATATTCTATTAACTTCTTCCAAGAAAGTTAAATCTGTGCACTCAAATTAAAGGTTTAGTAAACATTAATCTATTTGGAAAGGCTATCAATCTGACATTGATTTTTCACTGCTTTTTTAGGTCACAATGATGATTTGGAGTCGTTGGTTATCCAAAGGATGGACAAAGATTATTTGAATGATATAAAACGAGATGTTGATTGGCCGCAAGAAAAGGACCTCCTTGTAAGACCAGATGATGAAGGTAAACATGTAATTAGAGATAATGATCAGACGTTTGTAGACAGTCGTACAACTGAGCTATCAGCTATTGCTAGGCTGGGTTTAGTTCCTAGTTCTCCACCTAAAAGAAGTGACAATTACTCGAAAGGTCCAGGTGAGTGTAGTTTTTTAACTAGTGTAAAGTTGTTGTGGATTAGAGTTCTGGTGCCTGTCGCACTCAACAGTGTTTATTTCATTCTGGTTCAACATATTTTGTTCATATTATTGATTATAACTTTTCACGGTTGTTTTGTGTAGCTTTAATGTAATTTAGGCATAGAATAACTATAATGTGGCTATATGGAGTTAATTCTCACAGGGTGCTAATAAACCAACCAAGATAGGTCAAATTTCAGTCAAAATATCAATAAGCCATTTTGAATTGAAGCAATTTCTGTAGTTTACTTGAAAGGAAGATACGAGATATCAGTCTATCGGATATGGGAAATCTAATTGACTAAGAGAAGTTGATGCCTTCCAAATCCATTATTCAATGACTTAATACATGCTGTTTTACATGTTATTGACCTGTTATGTGACTCCGTTTCGTGTGAACAATTAAATATGCTAATTTGAGTATTTTATTCTTGGTTGCACCCTGTCTATGCGACAGCGGTAATGCGAAGATCAATACGGTTTATTTTGGATGGATTTGTTCCGTACATACACGTAAACTGACAGACAATATCAAGAAGCCTAAAGGCGAAACAAAATGAAGCGGAGAAAGCGAGTGGACCAATTAAATGGCATGAGGCGCAATTAAGAATGTACATTGTGCGATAAAAACCAGCTAGAAATGTAATAAGCGAAGCGATCATTGCACGCACATATTCCAGTAAAAGCAACCAAAGTTATGAGCGAAAAATAGTTGTGAACAGTAACTGGATAAAAATATGTTAGTTGGTTTATCGAAAGGTTCGGACAAGCCACATCAATGTGAAGTGTAAACCTCTGAATTGTGACACCGTAGTTTTAAACAGTTGTCAATCAATGCTGACGCTGAACGCATTGGGTTTAAACATGCGTAGAATGTGATGATGAGTTGTATGACAGAAAAACAAGGCATTTATTGCTCTTTAGTTCTTATTGATCATCCGGCAGTTGTCAGTTAGTAGTCTAAGTTATCTGAGCGTGTTCATTTAACACAGTTAAAGGTTATTGATTTGCATTTCTTTTCTCATTGTGTCACTCACAATTGGGATTCCATGATGTTTTACATATGTCCACTGATCAATTCAATACAACTGGATAAAGGTGAGCATGGTGAAGCATATGTAGTAAATCGTGACGATTTGTCGCCATCTGAACAACTGATATTTGATAAAGGTTGGAAATACAATTATTTTAACCAGTATGCAAGTGATCGAATAAGTGTGAGACGATATTTACCGGATCATCGAGAAGGCAAGTAAGTCCATTTTGAGATTACTGCAACACTTTATATATTATTTGCTATCTTGTGTACAGTCGATTGTTACACTACCTTTGTTGTCGAGTCATTTGGATTGTGGTAATACTCAAACTGTTCAAAACGCCGTAGGTGTTAGTCTTCGTGTTAATGGGCTAGTGGAAATAGATTTCGGATGTAATTCTTTACGATTTATTCATTCGACAATAAACTGTAAGGTTTCTCGATTAACTGAGGACTAACTGTTAAATCGTATTACCAATGTTTGAATAACTGTGGTGGAACCCATCACTGTACATCAATTTCTTTGACGATGGAAAAGTATTTGACGGTGTGAACAGGACAATAAAACATGGAACCTTCTTCGAAACTAAAGAGTGTCTGTGAAGATTTCACCATCATACGGAATTCCTCGACATCGTGTATTCGAGGCAGCTCACAGACTCATTCCTGATGAAAACCAGCACCGACAATGCTGCTTATTCTCACCGTTTCTCTTCCTGTCATTGACTTGATTATGAGGATTTTGATATATCAGGAAAACTCTGAATACGGCGGATATCTTGTATCCAGCCAGATGATTTGAATTCTCCAGGTGACCTAGCTTTTCTATTTCACACACAATAATAAATTCAGTAGGAGACAAATAGTGAAGCGGCAGCCTCTGTAACAGTAGGACTCAACGTGCACAAAGGGTGACGCAAGTGCTTATGATACAACACCAACTAAGTCACACTTAATTGAGAAGCTCTAGATAGGGTGGAGGCGTTCAAGTACGTGGATAGCATCATTGATAACCAAGGTAGATATGATTTAGATGTGAATGCACTAATTAGCAAAGCAAGTGTAATTGATGAACATCTGGAACGCAGAATAACTGTCAACCAACATCAAGTTTACAATTTTCAACACAAACAACAAAACAGTTCATTGCACAGATGTTGCACCTTAGAGAATGACAATCATCAATAAATCGGTACAGGTGTCTGTAAACAGCTTTCTACGCAGTTGTAACCTGGACTAAGCGTATAAAATCACACAGTGTATTTTCAACGACCAAATGTTTGTTGAGCTGTAAGTCACGATATATTATCTAATCGTTCATGCGTCTGTTTTAACTTGACACTTTTATCTTGATGTGTGTTTTTATTTAAAAAATACTTCTGCAGGTGTAAAGTCAACAAATATGCAAGTAATCTACCCTCAGCATCTGTGATAATTTGTTTTCATAATGAAGCTTGGTCAACATTATTGCGTTCAGTGCATTCAGTGATAGATCGATCTCCACCAAATTTGTTACATGAAATTATACTGGTTGACGATTACTCTAGTCATCGTAAGTCACATCTGTTTGTTTTGAATGCTGTTGATTCGATTTCGGTTGATTCTATTGAGTTTACATTGAGGTAGTTTCAAAATGATGCTGTTATCATTGGAAGAGTGCATTATTCCATCTTCGACAGAATCTGGTGTTTATGAGATGCTGTTGATTGTGTCAATAAATACTTGGGATTTGAAATTCTCTTACGATGTACAAAAATGATTTAACGTTTGAGTGATAGTGAACGATTGCTATTTATTGACTTGCAGTATTGATTGATGTAAAGAAAAGATTCAAAGGAAGACAGAGGAGAAAACACCGTGTTATATGAACCGGTTTCAGTTCACGTTTGACTTGTCTCTCAATTACCATTTCTTGATTACATCACTTCAGTTTTCTTCTGATGTGCATCAGACTGTGATTCTTTTAAAAATGTTACTCCTTGATACCATACATGACATTTTCTCTATTGGTGAGTAATGTTTTGAAAAACTTAGGAATACTGAATTTGTCGCTCGAATTTCGACTTGCTGTTTATGACTGTGTACTTCGTTTTCGAGGGCGAATATTTAGTCGGATAGTTTCTTCAAATTTTCACTGTTTTACTTCAGGTTTGCAATGTGTGCATAGATTGATAAGTGAGTATTTACTGATGTCATGTTTGTGTCGTTGTTGGCACTGGTCGAGGGTTGTAATATAAGTAGCAACAAGGTTACCAATCTAAGCGTTGTGTAATCAGGTCCATTCAAGTTTCAGTCATGAACCTGGATTTTGTGAATCTTATTTGTGATCATTCATCAACAATTCACATTAGCTGTTAAACTTCACGCTGTTTTAATGACCTTATGGTAAAAATGTAAACTACTTTTTATTTGATTGTTTTACTGAATCAACTTTATAACAACACTGTTCTTATATGTTAGCTCATCTCAAAGAAGCATTGGAAGAATATATGGCAATGTTAAAAGTTGTCAAAATTGTTCGTACTAAACAACGTGAAGGATTGATTAGAGCAAGAATGATTGGTGCAGATCATAGCACTGGGAAAGTTCTTCTGTTTCTTGATTCACATATTGAATGTACCACAGGTGAGTTTGATATTATATTAACAGTAGTTCGGTGTACTTATGTTTCATAATATTGTTTCTTGTGTGAATCGTAAATGTGCTATACATATGTATCTATGTGTAAACATATTATTATGACGATCGAAGACAAAGTAGTCAAAAATACTGAACTTGGTATTTGTAGATTTCACCACTATATCTTGTTTAAATAATTTATTGCATTCAACATTTCTTTAAAGTACAACTGCTCCATTAACTACTTTGAAAATTTCACAAAAACCTTGAAACATTCAATGCCCAATATGCTAATTGTATGTTTGTTACTTGACAGTGTTATTAATACAATATTGAATTGTGAAATGATGGTAAAAGCTACTGTCTTTCAACTTTTGATAAGAAAAGTGAGAAACGATAAAGATAGTTGGGAGAAAAGACTATGGTAAAACGATAGTTTATATAATGATTTACCAATTGACTAAAATAATCAAGTTTAAAACCATTATGTAAGAATGTGATGAAAAGTAGGCGTTTATTGAAATATAAAATTTTCTTGTATATGTGAATTGTGAATAAATTTTACGTGAATATGTCTGTTCAGTTTTGGCAAAAAAAACTTTAGTCATTTTAAATCTTATTGATTACAATAAATTAGTGTTTTTTTACACAGGGTAAATTAAACTTTAAAAATTTCTAGCGATCATAATCAACACTATGAGATGGTAGTTGAATAAGCTTATCCTGATAATCGACTAATCTACGCCAGTTAAAAAATTTGTTTCTTTATATTTTGCCCAGTGAAGAAGGTCGATTTCCGACAAGGAAGACTGTAAGCATCGCTTGAAGGTCGAAGGGAATAGTTATCACTTTCGAATGTGCTGGAATATTGCCTTAAAATGACCACAGTCTACTTTTCTCACTAGAAGAGAAAAGAGTTTTGAACGATCTACCTTTTTAAATAATACATCTTAATTGGAGCCATAGTTTTTCACCGATAGGAGGCCTTTACTGAACTGAGTTACTACGTCTAAAGCTACTCACATAAGTAGTGTGTGCAACACCAACCTAGCTAGTGAAAAAAAACTTTATTTTCAACGATATTAATAACTGAATTTGTATTCATGGTTTCTAACATATAAGGTAGCCGAATCGGTTGAGATAATCAAACTAAGGTTGCCTAATGATTGATGGATTTCTGAAAAATTTCAAAAGGAAGAATAACTAGATCATTACTTGCTAGGTTGGACATCAAGAAGTAATTTGAAGGTGATGTTAATCATTATGATACTAGATAGACAAAATCAAATGAGAAAGTTTGAATCATAGTAGGATAAGGGTCTGAATGTATTGATTTTTGTAAACAAAAATAGTTTGCAGCGTAATCACTGAATTTGCAATACACAAGCTTATAATTCCTTATTCTTTTGTTGTTGGTGAAAAAAATCATTTAATTGTACGGATGATGTTGAATGAAACAAATGATTAGGTGTAAGATGTTTTTATCATATACAATTTACTGAATATAACTCTCTGTTAGAGTTGAACTGGTACTGTTTTTTTCAGTTAAATTCACGTTTAAATCGAATATTAGCTTTAAATTACACTTTCTGTTATAGATAAGATATAACTTGATTTCTGTCTTAGTGAGTTCTAATTAATGGGAACCAATCATATATATTCAATAGTAAATTGGATAAACTGCATCAAATACATCAGAATTGGCGGTTTTTAATTAGACCGGAGTAACAATTTAAGAGAATATTTTACATTACCAATAAATGCGCTAAACTAAAACCATTAAGAATGTTTACATTTTTTGAGATTTGAATGTTTAATTTGTGATTGTGTTAGTGACCGATTCTAGCTTGCAAGCAAATGAATATTTATCTATAAGTTCAATCACACTTTTTGCACAAGGTAACATTAGGCCAGTAGAACCTTCGGGGCTACTGTCGGACCCAAGCCCGGGTAAAGTAGGAGGGTTGGACATGGGGTTGGCGACCACATTCCGTCAAAAACTAACTTGACAAAAAGAAAACGCTAACCAGAACATTAGGCATATTAAAATAAACATTGTATAAACAGATCTTAGAGTGTTATCCCTACTGGGAGTCAAAAGAATAATATAAATTAGTTAACAGCTAGATTTTGTAACACAAGCTTAACATTTAGTTTGACTTTGTAAATGAATTTGAGTAATATTTGCAACGATACATACAATGTGATTAAAATCTACAAGACACTTTCAAATAGAGCAATGTTGATAAAATTGATACCTTACAAGAAAATGAGTAATTAACGGCTTATTTTTATTCAATTAAACTTAATTAAATCTTTGCAGATACATTTTAATGATAATCAAATTCGCTTTGGTTTGCATTGGTACACATTAAAAAATCTTTGGCATTTCATGATCTTCGATTAGATCTTGTAGTAATCATTATTCTAGTTGTGTGTTTTTTTTCTTCAATCAATTCGATTTTCAAAAATAAAAAAGCTCCAAGATTTCTTCTAAACCATTCTGTGAAGTGTATAAGGAAAGAGGATAGAGTAAAATTATAGAATTGAAGGTTTTACTGTGCAAAGTGTAAAAATTCTTTTTAAAAACGTGTTATAACAAACATGTCAAGACAAGAACAGGTGTTGATTAAAAGTTTTTTTCTTTTTTTTTGTAAAATCGACATATATTAATCATAGAATGGATATGTGACTTTAATTTGGACAACAAACTGAATATACAGTAAAAATAAATCTTTTATTGAATTCCAAATTTATTACTTCTAGACGTACTTACAGTCAGTCAGTCAGTCAGATGCAACGTAGAACTTCGTACTTAAGTACATCAGTTCATGTTGCCATACCACATCAGCACAGAGATGTAATTGTCAATTCAAATCCAATAGCAGAAGAGGTAGTAATGGTATTAGAAGTAATCGGAGAGGTTAGGATTAGAAGATATTATTCAAGAAGTATGACTCAGTGAGAAAAGTTTAGTAAGTCAAAACTAGAGGGGTTGATGAATCGAGAAGATTAGAATTTGAGAGGACCGACCGTAGCCGCTACCTTAACGTAGTGGTCGGGCTTGCCTATCGTGATGACCAAACCGAGCTATATTGGCTGGAAATTATGTTCCTGAAGGTTCTACTATGCTAGGCAGGTCGATTGGAGAACGATCAGACTAAAAGTAGCTACTCAAGGTCTGAAGGTAAAGTCGTACTGCTGACTGCAGAGGGGTGTGACAGCAATAAGGTGTTTCTCTCGGAAAACCAGCATCTGCAGCGATGCTGCCTTCTCACAAGGAAGGAAGAGTTAGAGAAGGTCGACCCTAAAAATGTCACACCTTACCCTTCCTCATGGATTTCTGTCTCTGGCGGTAAGGGTGCCCACTAAGGGCCTTTAAGAGCGGAGCTAATACTCAAAAAACCTTTCATCAAAAAGCCGTGCATGACCAGCCTCAAGCAGTTGTCCGTTGGGCACTGCGGTCACGCTCCCAGGTCTCCAAGACCAACACTAACCTACCTTCTTTTCAGGTCCCTCAAGAAACAACCTTTCACGGTGTTTGCAGCCGTAAGTGACAACCGCTCTCATACCCGTAACAGCACACGAGACCGAATTGGTCGATGGCGGTGATGGAACTTTTATTTTTCGATGCATTTATTTCATTGACTCGTTTATAGTAGACAAACATGACAAACATGAGAAGTGGGGAAGGTGAAGTGAGCTAGAGAAGGCGAGTGAGCCAGTTTCATTTGAAATGGCATGACTAATTATTTATAGTCAAATAAAAATAATCTCACGATAAATATGACAAACAGAGTCAAAATATATGGATAATTTTACTTTAGAAGAACAGATTTACTGGTCTATTCAAAAGCTACAATAACCCTATTTAGGCTTGACGCCGTTAGTATCATCAAACACTACAATACAAATAAAATGAATTAAATTTTAATAGAATATTTCAGGATGTAGTAAATCCAATAGATAAAGATTACTCATAGCCTGATTATCAGTGATAAGCGGCAAAAAATCTAGGTGTAAGCATGAGTAGTGAAGGGAAACACAAAAATATAAAGCAAACTATAGTCATAGCAAAAGAATGTGACGCGTGTATAGATATTTCAGTAGATTGGGCTTGATCTTATAAAGGATCTTGAAAGCTTGTCTTGATACTGGATGTTTTAGAGTTAGCTATGGGAAACAGACAAAATTTCATACCCATGTGGTTCATAACATGATATGGATTCCTATGCATCGGGAAGGTTTACTCGACAGTCTATCAATGTGCTTTCTTATGCGAGTAGCCAAGACCGAAAAGTCGTTATGGAATGAGAGATGTCAGCGCTATAAAGCTTTATTTCACCTAATGGTAACATCAGAATATAATGCTTGATGTCGAAGTCTCTAGGATGATGACATTCATAAAGCAGAACCAGAGCAACAAAGTCACTGTTTCATGATGGTGACACTAAAAGGTGGTTCACACACATTGCCGACCTTCAGTGTCACCGACATAGTGTTGCTATTTGATGTTAAGACTCCCTTGGGGAGAACGAGGATTAGATTTGCCAGAGGTTTCACGAACAGAGCCAAACCGCTGCCACTGGAAACTGACCTTTTGCCAACAAAATGTCATTATAACAAAACCGCAGATTACTTTGATTCGAACAGGCATCTTTAAATTTCACATAGATTACATCATCTCATCTATCACGTTCACGTAATTATCTAGATACATAAAATTTTTGATTACTTCTAACTGCTCACCAACAGACTTCTACCAGTCTTGTAATATTACTGTGTACTTACGTGTAAACTAAATGTCATACCAAATGGAACTGACTGAACTCTACTTAGAACAACAACCTAAATAAAAACCAGACTTTTTAAAGCGTTAGTCTTCGACAAGTTTTAAATGGTCTAAGTAGGTCTGTTGTAAGATATAACTCAATAAACTTACCAAATTTCAAAAATTCACATCAATGACTGGTTGCATTTCGAAAATCATCAAAAACCCAGAAGGC